CATTTGAGCTGGAACTGGGGGTTGCTTTTCTCTTGCTGTTGATTTTATGCAACATTTTGAAGTTTCTTACTTACCGAGTTCCTGTCTGAGGAATATTAACCCTTTATTTGACTGCTTTCTTTCAGAGATGTGGTACTGGGTTTTCCTCTGGGCTCTCTTCTCCTCTCTCTTTGTCCATGGTGCTGTGGGAGTGTTAATGTTTGTGATGCTGCAGAGACATAGGCAGGGCCGGCTGATCTCTGTCATTGTGGTCAGCATTGGATTTCTGGGGTCTGTAACTGGAGCAATGATAACCAGTAAGTCTTGTCTTCTGTGTGGTTTTTATTTTGCATCTAACTTCTATAAGGAAAAAAAAAACTTTTTTCTTAGTGATTTGTTAATGGTTCATTAAGGATTTTGCTTTAGTTCTGTAGCTATCTGAATGCTCATGACAGCTGAGTTGCTCTTCTTTTGTGTAAGGATAAAATACTCTATCACAGGAGTGCAGAAATCATCCTGCTCTTTAATTTTGGCAACTTTGGGTGCCAAGCTATTCAAAAGTTGTATGCTAAGCAGGTAAAATACCCTTTTGGGATCAGCAGCCCTGTCCTACCTTACTTGTGGCAGATTTCTTGTTGTCAAAGGTTTCTGATCAAGATCACTTTGTAGTAACCCTAAACCCACAACCTTCTTTTGGAAATGGGGTCCTGATTCTGTTGGTTGCAAGGCTGAATTGCTGCTCCTTTCCCTGGGCCTGCTGGAGATATTTAAATGGCAACTGGAGGGGATGCTGCCCTTTTAAAAGAAATAAAGGTGCAATGTAGGGTAGTGATTTACAGCTAAGAAAATTCCTTTGTTTGGAGAAGTTACATATAGCTAATGTATTTGAAAGAATTTTCCAGTCAGGGCTTGGCTGCAGTGTTAGGGAAGAGGTAGGAAGGAAGGACATTGGACTTTTTTTCCACAAAAAAAAATTTAAACAATGCTCTTGTTCTAGGTAAAATGCTCTTTGGTGTCAATACTGAAATAATAGAATCATTAAGGTTGGAAAAGACCTCTAAAATCATCAAGTCCAACCATCAACCCAACACTCCCATGACCACTAAACCATGTAGATGTGGGACTCTGGGACGTGTTTTTTGAACCCCTCCAGGGATGGTGACCCCACCACCACTCACCACTCTGTCAGGAAAGAAATTCTCCCTAATATTCAATCTAAACCTCCCCTGGGGCAACTTCAGCCCATTTCCTTTTGTCCTGTTGCTACATCTTCAGTGTTGTTGACAAGGTGGTGTAGCTTGAAAGGCCTTTGAGGGTGAGGATCTGTAGATGTAACAACCATCCTATGATCTGCAGGCAAGCCTCTCTGCCTGCCCAGCTTATCAAAGTAGTGGTGTCACTTCAGCTCTAGACACAGCCATGGATTCTACAGATTCTTTCTTCCTGGCCCTGAATTGGTAGCAACAAACTGCTCATAGATTTTCAAGGTTAAATAAAAAAGCAAATTTCATTCAAAGCTTCATGGAGACTTTCCTCAAAAAATTGTTTTAGTAGATTTTTATGTCTTAGCCTAGAACATCCATGATTTGAAACAGCATAGTTCAGTGTAACTCTGGCTTTTTTTTCTTGCTAAGGGAAGGTGGAGCCAGCTGTGCAGCTTAATTACATCTTCATGCTGCTTTTCATCCCCTAATTAAAATGGCAGTGCCCCTGTTACAAAGTCAGTGGAGAATCAGCTTTGCTGAAGAGCTGAAGATAGGAAATGTGATGCTGGAAGATCCAGGCAGAGGCTTTGACAGGATTCTGTTGAGGAAAAGGCTCAGGTTCAGTGTTTCTGAAATGAAAATCCTCTGTGTGTTTTATCTATGCATAAAAAGAGGAGCAACACAGTTGTGGTTTTGGAAAACAATTTTGCAGGTCAAAACACTTAAGTTTTGTGCCAATTCACCTGAGAATTTCTCCAGGGTTAGCCTGTAGACTTGTTATACTGTTCCCAAAAGTTTTGCACAGAGCATTGCAACTTAGCCAAAGGCTTTTACTTTGGGGTGTTTTATTTTTGTTTCTGGACAGTGCTGAGTTGTTTCATACAGGAAAATTCTCTGGGGAGCTTCTGAAAACAAACTATGGCAATAAAATATTAAAGAGAGGATTTTTAGTAGTTGTTCTGCAAATTGGGATGTGAGTTAAAGTATTTTGTGGTTTGGATAGGCCTGGTTCAGTGCTTAAGAAATTGGGATAGCAAACTGATTTCAATTTCCTTTTTGCATTTGCAGTCCTCTGCATTGGTTGTGGAAGTGAATGAATGCAGTAGAGATGATTAAATAATGCAACTTTAATTTTGCTTAGGTAGATCTTTCAAACTTTCTGCCCTTCTGGGATGTTTTTACCAGCATACAGAGAAGCAGGAATCCTCTCAGTTCCTGGGCTTTTTTTAAAAACAAAACATGTAACTTAATACTTATAAAAAAGCTATGAAAAAAAGTGTACTAAATAGTAGTGGATCCTGCCCAACCCAAACACCCAAATCAACCCAGAACAGACAAACATCAGGCAGTTTGAGGGAAGGATTTTAGCTGTATTTCATCCAGAAGGCTCTGTTCCTCCTCCTCTCCCCAAGCATCCTCCTTTTTTGGGTGGCATGTTCTCATTTCCCTTGTTGGCAGGCTGTTATGTCCTTTGGCTTTACACCATTGTGCTGGGTTAGGCACTACAGGTTGTATTACTCACTGCCATATGATGAGTGCAGAACTACCTAATTATCAAACTACTAAATATTGATGGCTTTATTATTGATATTTTCCAGAATAGCTCAGTATTTGCTTCAGAGGCCAAAAATTTTTGCTGTTGACCAACTGATAACATCAAATTCTGATATCCCAGTTTTGAATTCACTGAGAGAGTTCAGTCACCAAGATAATTTTCATGTCAGCACTGAGCTTGGTCTAAAGGATCTCTTCCAGTTTTTGACAGTAGACAGCCAAGGAACAAAAGGAAAAGCTTATGCAAGGTAGCTGAGTGAAACCCCACAAGTTCAGGTTTCTGGTGAGGGATTTCTGACAAAATAGACTTTACAGAATGTTTATTTTAAAAAATAAAATTAAAACCCCAAACAAACAACTCAAACTTGCCTAGCAGTCTGATTAATAGTGGTTGTAAATACTCTTATAGCCACAACCATTCTACTCCTCCTAAAATTTTTGTAAAAATGAGATGTTACTCTTTTAAGATGTTGGATGATTCAGGTGTAGGTTGTACTTTCAGAAAATCTGTTGGGACTTTGTGTTTCTGTGCCACTAGTGGGGTTTTGCTCCCTTCAGCAGGCTGTTCCTGTCAGTGACCCTGCAAAACCAAGAAAATTCCAAATTTTTTAACCTCTTGCCTATTATTTAAAAAAAATTGTGGTCGCTTTTCAGTTTTCTTTGAACCTAAAAAAGCCTCTGAAAGCATTTAATTAAAATTAAATAACATCTGAGGCCATACATACTGAAGGGCTGTAATTAGTGGGCTGTCTTTGCTACCTTTTCAAATTAGCAGGAGGCAGAAATGTAATAAAAGATTTGAAGATGTCTATAGGGGAACAGGGGAACAAGAAGATTGAATTTTCTCAAACTGATGTTGGAAAAGTTGATCTGATTCAGTTGGGAAAATCATTCCTGAAGGGTTTGCATGATTAGAAAAACACAAGCAAGGCTCATAATTCTTCAAGGCCAGGAAGGAAATCCAGTGTTTGGTCATGTTCTGTAAACAGCTGATGCATAGACACAGCAAATAATCTGTCCTGTATTTCAGCCTTGGCTTCTTCTGTGATTTGATCATTGTTTTTCTTGTGATTCTCAGGTGCTGCAGTAGCTGGAATCTACAGAGTAGCAGGAAAGAATATGGCTCCTTTAGAAGCTCTTGTCTTTGGTGTGGGACAGACAGTCCTGACATTAATTATCTCATTCTCAAGAATCCTTGCAACACTTTGAGACTTATGTAGAAGGGGAAAAATAACCAATCAACTCATCTGTAATTTGAAGAGAAGCTTCCTGGAAGTGGATTCATCAGCACAAGCTTGAATTCTAGTGCAAGAGAAAGGAAGGTATGTGGAACCTGCACTGCCCCTGATGTGCCTCAGCCACAGGCAGGGTGCAGCCAAGCTGAGGTGAAGCTCCTGGAGCAGCTGCCACTCAGGGGAACACTTGGTGGTGGGATCCTCGTTCCTCACAGTGTTGTCATAAATTCAAGGGGTGCTCCTGAGAATTGCTCTGTGTGCCAAACGTGGAGTTTAGTTCTGAACTGCTGGCTGGGGGAGCTTTGGGATTGTAATTGCAGAGGAATGCTGTGAATGTACACTCTGTTTGAATTCAGGTAAAACAGCAAGAGAACCAACTGTTGTATTAGGAAATCTCACTGAATGCTGAATATCCTTATTCAGATTAGGTGTGTTTTCAAGTGTAGGTGAATTTTGGTGGGGTTTAAGAAGCACAGCATTAGCAACCCTGGCAGGATCAACCCTGTGCATGGAATGGCTCATGGAAGTTTTTCTGAACCTCAGCACAGAATTTCTTCCTGGTTTTAGCTCGTTAGAAATCAAGAGCTTGAGACAACTGTATGTACAATCTGTTGTGTATGCACAAACAAATCTTAAACTGATGCTTTCCTTGAAATCAGTTTATCTTAAGCATACAGATGGGCACCAGCCCTGCTGAAAACCTCAGGAAGGCTGCTGGTTGTTGAAAATAAGCTCCCTATATTTATTTAAGCACTGATAGAGCTTTTAACCCTACATACATTCCTTAAAGAACACACAAATATGTGTATTCTCTTAAAGTCTGGTGTGTGTGGAGAATAGAAAGGGATAAAAATAGGATACACTGTTTTTCTACCAAGCAAAAACCTTAACTTGAATAAAACAGTCACTCTACTCCAAAAGTTTGGAAGTGGGAAAGCACTGATGTATTTACTACCTTGTTTCTGAACACTTTGTATATTTGGAGAGGTGATGGTACCTGGACCTTTCAAATACTTAGATTTCAGTAGAGTTTGTGCTTTTTCTAGTTTAAAATGGACAATAGTGTTGTGCATGTGAAGCATCTTTAATGTGAATGTTTTGGAGTGAATAGAAATTTTTTAAGCCTGATTACTCATTATTTACAAAATGAAAATTTAAAGGCCACAAAGTTCTGTGTGAGGAGCAAGGGATCTTTTTTTTACATCTTTCCTCAACTGAATGCTTTTCAGCTGTCAGCTTTTAGTGCTGACAAGAAGAATAAAATTGCTCAAAGGTTTTGTTATTTATGTCAAAAAGACTTTCAGGGCTGTTGGAATCACTGGCACTTGCTGCACACCTTAAAGAATTATGGTTAAAATATAACCTACCCAGTCACAGTGCTTGGTACTTCAAAATATTGTAACCTTTCTGCCTTTATTTTACCCAACATAAACTGTTTTGTTCTTTATTTTGTTGGTTTTATTCTTAAAGTGCTAAGGATACTAATATTACTTGTTTAAAGTATTTAAGTTTTGTTTGGTAAATGTACAAAGTTACAGGTTTTGCAGGGAACAAAGTAAAATACAGGTTTATAAACCTTTTCAGTGTTATATTTTTGGCTTTGAGTTGCTTTAAAACAGGCTGAATACATATTCTCATTATTTTGGATGTCTTCAGGGACTTATTTATTTTTCATGGTTTGGGTTTTTTACCTTGTAGCTTTTACTTTCTGCTGGTACTTTTTGGTATAAGTCATTGCACTTTACTGGACAGTGAAGTCATTACATCTGGAAAAGGCAATTTAAACTTCTTCCCATTGTCTTAAATTATGAGAACTGGTTTCAGGTATTTCAGTCAAATTGAATAATAAAACAATTGAAGATATTTATCCTACTGTGCCTTGCTGCATATATTTTTAGGGGAGAGGATTTTAAAAACCAAATTACCATCATTACCATGTCTTTGTTCTTGTTCTATTTCTGATGAATTTGGTTACCTGATACAATGTCTTACTCAGCAGACATTAAAACATGTTTCTGACAGCCTGGAAATGCTTGTCTGGATCAAACCCATCTGTTTCCTGAGGCACTGCTTTCAGTAACAGAGATTGTCTCACAGCTTCACCTCACACTGAAACTCTCCCCAGTTTCCAGGTTTCCTTGAGCATCTTGATCTTTCTCACACGAGGCTCTCATGCTGCCACTGATCAGTGTCCTGCTGTCTTTCACCCAGTTAAACTCTTAACAGATGACTACTAAATGCATCTAGAACTCCATTCTTCCCTTCAACTGCAGTGCCAGGGGAATTGTTGCCATTGTAACTTCCCCCCTTGCACAAGGAGGGATTGCAGATGATGTTACCTTCCCCTCCAGATAATTTTGATTGCATAGATCATTGTAGTTGCTTCTAAAACATCCTTCAGTGCTTAGTTGTCTCTTCTTTATAAGGCATTATCACTTGGCAGATAATATAATGCCTAAAGGGCTTAACAGAGACCAAATGAAGTTATTTGACAGAAAATTTGGTTTAACTGTTTCTTGTGAGGAACATATAAGGACAAGTAGTCCATTAAGTGTTCTTTGGCCATAGCATGAACTTAGCTGTGTGACAGCTCCAGCAGTGAATGAGGAGGTGTGAGGAAGTGGCCTTATGTCTGTGAAACTTTGAAGCTTCATTCCACACCCTTAGAAGCAGCTTAGATAAAGCTGAGGTGTTCTCATCAGTGCATTGTGTGTGTATATATGTGAATGATGGTTTGTGAGCATGTTCTGTACCTTACACATACTAACAACTGAAATAACTGTTCCAAGAAAAAGAAAATTACTTCAAATAACCTCTTTTTTTTTTTTCTTTTCCTCTCTTGTTAGTAGGCTACAAAGCTGTTTTGTGTGTGAATGGCACTGGTGGTGCTCTGGTTCTCTCTGGACAATACAGTGTTGTGCAGATGTCCACACAGGATCTTTTAGTGCTGTCTTCAAACAGCTCTGCCTGTCTCTGTGTTGTATCCCTAGGCACATTCTGCATTGTTAGTGGCTAATTTCTAGTAAAGTACAAACAATACACCAACAAAATTTAGTCTTTGGAAGAGGGGGGAACACTGAATGTAATACTTAACGTGAAGAAGCTTTTACTGCTGTGTTAGAAACATTCCACACACTTCCAATTAGTCAGTACAACCACAGAATCATAGAATACCAGGTTGGAAGGGACCTCAAGGATCATCTGGTCCAACCTTTCTTGGCAAAAGCACACGTAGACAAAGTGGCCCAGCTGCTCTGTTCTTCCAGCAAGTGTCTGGTAGCTGAAATCACCAATAAGAACCAGGTTCTGTTGGCCTGAAGCTTGCTTCAGTGACCCAAATATTGCTTCAGTGACCCAAATATTGCTTCAGTGACCCAAATATTGCTTCGTTGGGTTTATTGTCTTCATTTGGAGGTTGGTAGCAGATGCTTACTCTAAGATCCCTCTTGGAGACAAGTCCTCTGATCACAGATTGGGTTTATTGTCTTCGTTTGGAGGTTGATAGCAGATGCTTACTCTAAGATCCTTCTTGGAGACAAGTCCTCTGATCACAGAATCACAGAATGATGGGGGTTGGAAGGGACCTCTGGAGATCATCTCATCCAACCTCCCTGCTAAATCAGGTTCACCCAGACCTGGTTGCCCAGGAACACGTCCAGGCACACTTTGAAACTCTCCAGAGAAGGAGACTCCCAACTTCTCCAGGCATCTTGACCCAGAGGCATTCAACAGAGCTTTCCCAATCACTGTAGTTGGCTTCTGTACATTCAGGGTTCATTGGTACACACACACACACGAGGGGGTTGGTCTTCTGGCTCTTATTTTAGGAGGCAGCCAAGGAAGTTTTGTTCCCCAGGTGAAAAACTTTTGGTTAGACTCAAAAAAGTCCAGGAAAAAATCTTCCAAATAATGATTGTCTTTGATTTTGTGGTTCTTGTGAGTTCATGAAACTCATCTGGGTGCCACGACTGGCAGTGTCATTTGAAGTTTGCTGTTGACAGCTTTTTAAAGACAGAATGTTTACAGAAATGTTTACAGAAACCACTAAAGGTGTTTGTAGAAAAAAGCTGTTTGGAAAGCTGTAACAGTTGTGCTATAAACTTTACAAATACAATCAGTGTCATAATCACTTGGATTTGGCCCAGTCAATAAGGAGGAGAGGAAAAAAGGGAATTTAAAGACCTTAAAAAATGAGAAAGACAAGAAGTATCCATTGGAGGGGCATAATTTTATCAGGGGACCAATGTTGGTTTTCAGCCAGCATCATTCAAACAACATCAACACAAATCAAACAAGATCAAACACAATGCAGCAGAATATCTCTTCATAAAAGTGTTTTGTGGATAAAATGCATTCTGCAAATTGGTATTAAGAAATAAATGTTCATCTTTTAACTTGAATTTGCCTAAGTTAAGGGTCATGACCAAGACATTTGGTCCTGACCAAGATGTGTCATTCCAAGGCAGCCAGGACAGTGATGGAGATTTAACATAGAGTTGGTTTATTCTCTGTACAGACTATATTACAGTGCAAAAAAAATAGTATTATTTGGAGTTGTGGGTGTGCTGCATGTTCATGTAACAGATTAGCTCCAAGTGGAAAAAAAAAGGTGACATTTAAGCTGTAAATATTGTATATTATCTTTCTTTTTTTAAGCAATTTTTTAATTTCCCTGTTTGTGTACAGTTCTTTATGTACAGATAAAAAAAGAAACCCAACACAGCATTTTGAGAAACTTTTGTAGTTAACTTTTTTTGCCTTTTAATTGCAGTAATGAGCTAAATGTGTCCATTCAGCTGTTTGGTTTTGTTTTGTTCCAAAGTTTTCACTCTGTGCTTTCAGGTTGTTTGAAAAGCAGCAATAACAGTTGGACAATTATTTAAAATAAGGGGTTTTTTTCTGCACAATTGCCTCTGCCATGCTTTGGGCTGGAGGCAAAAATCCAATTGTAAGATTTCAAGAGCCTAAGCAGTT